AAGTCGACCATTTTAGTGTGACAGCTGGCTGCCATATGAGAAGTGAGCAGGTACTTTGCACATAAGTGCAGTGAATGGGGTTCAATATGCAAATGCATTATAACCAAATTCATGGTATAATGGGAGTGTACTTAGATAACAGCTTTACTAAAAACATCTTATACCTCAGAAAACATGTTGTGGAGCTAAAATAATAGTAATGATAACCATCCGTTTAGGAGTATGAAACATTGGAGGATTTTAGCAGTAATAAGTAAGAACCCGGTTGTTAGTCGATTGATGGACCACTTTAAAAATAAACAAAAATAATTTGGTCACTCAATCCACGACTGTTTGAGGGACCCTGCTGTGCGTAATTGATTGCCAGGTTTCGCCCACAAAATATACAGTCAATTCACTTTACAGTGTAATCTGTGAAGCTCATTGAGACGTCTCGAAGAAATGATAAGGCGCTAAGATTTTTTTGAGTTTAAAAAATGGAATATCCGAGATGGAAAAACATCTGTAGGTTTAAACATATAATAAGGCATAGGAACAAACTAAACCATTCAAACTCTCAAAGCTTTAGCTCAATCCATTTTAACCCACTTCAACTCAACTTTCAACCTTTGATTGCCTCATATACAATATGGTTTCTCCAATCAGGGAAACAATCATCAATATTCATCTCTAGACATCTGGATTAACAGTCCAGAAAATTTTAGACTTTGATTAAGTGCTATTTTAGATGTCAAATTTGTGCCAGCAACAGCTGCTTTGTTGTATACTGAGATATTTTGATACCAAGTTGAATACAGTCCTTGATTAATCTATCCTGAAAGATTAGCTATCTAAAGTTTTTTTCTCATTTTAAGTGTTGTTAGTCTTCAAAGTCATTAGTCACTACCTCATCTCAGAGAACATCAGCATAAATTTACATTGTTAATGAACGTTTGTGGTAAATGTATTAATGATACTTGTAAGTATCAATTCAGCGTTAATAACTTTATGTAATGCAATGAGTTTATTTTTTTGATGAGGAAACGTCACTAAGTCAAAATGCTTGTACTCAAATTTATTGAGTGCATAAATGATTCATTTTGCACCTGGGTTCTGCAAATACAGTATATTGCAAAGCTCAACTTTCTTTCCAAACTTTACTTGAAAGATATTCATATGTTTTATCACATAGTATGTTTCAGGTGGCAGTAGAGCATTAGTCCATCTAGCCTAACCATGCAACTTCCTAAAGATTTCTTCAATACATGCATCTCTAACAATCCTAACTGTTAAACTGGATTTGAGCCAGATGTGTTCAGTGGCATGCACCTGTGATTTGAGGGAACAGAGGTGACTGGTGTACCAAGGGGACCAGAGAGATCAGAGGGAGTAGGAGCTGGCACAGGAGGTGATGGGGAAGGACGTCGAGAATATCAGAGATTGAGTTGTGAAGGAGAGTCACTGAGGACGTAAGATCATTGTGGGAGGACACCCAGAGGGACAGGAATTCAGATGACTCGAGGGCAGCGGAAAGGGTGTGTGGGTCGATTTTTTCTCAGGGATGGTAAATAATGATAATAATCCTTGCATTTGATATAGCTCTTTTCACGTCTTCTAGACGTCTCAAAACGCTTCACAGAATATACTATTTTTAGGGAGAGATTCAAGGGATGGTAAAGACTGAAGTGCTCAAAGGAGGGGAAGGATCCGGTGGAGTAAGGGGATAGACCGAGTGAGGACCTAGAGATGAGAGCCATGATCTAATAGAATGGCGGAACAGATTTGAAGAGTTGAATGGCCTACTTCTGTTCCTATGTTCCTATGAGATCCACACCACCACCACAACTCTGATATTAATCTCCAGAAACTTGACTGGTGCCCTTTTGAAATCCTTTATAGTCCCTTGTTCCTGTTCTGATAGTTGTTCCACATGTTCATAATCTTTTTACGGAAAATTACCTTGTGAAAATTATTCACTTTTCTTCAATATACATGCAGGCACACCATTTTACAGTATATTCTGTGAAGCTCTTTGAAACATGTTGACAATGTGATAAGGTGCTGTATGCAAGGATTATTATTGTTGTTTTGAAGCAATGCCCTTTTTTGTATTTTTCACATAACAGAGAAATTTATTATATACATTTTTCAAACTTTTCAAGATGTTTAACAAATTTAATAAGTTTAATCAAGTTGCCCATCAGTTTTTTTCAAGAGAGAAACATAGGATCATCAATCTTTCTTCAAGGCTCTGCCCCTAAACTTTGGAATTAGTCTAGTAGTCCTCTACTGAGGACTCTACAGAGTCCTGTAGCTCAGTGGTTAGAGCACTCGCTTTGCAAGCGAGAGACCTGAGTTCAATTCCAGGCAGGGAGAAACCTTGGGCAAGTTTCCTTACTCCACACAGAGCCTAATAATAATCCCTCCAAAAAAACAAAATAATAAATTGGTCATTTTCAATCCATGACTGTTTGTGGGACATTGCTGTGCACAATTGGCTGCCGCGTTCGCCCATAAATATACAGTCAATTCACTTTACAGTATATTCTGTGAAGCGCTTTGGGACGTCCTCCCGACGTGAAAAGCGCTATATCAAATGCAAGGATTATTATTATATTACTGAATCCCCTTCTAATATGAAACATTTCTTTGAAATATTAAGAGAAAATCTCCAGATACAGTCTCAACATGGGAGCAAAATATTGCAATATGTACCTTAAATGAATATTGTATAAGTTGAAATCTAGGATTTTTAAATAATATCCTGATAAGTTTTCGTGGCTAGTCTACTAATACCTGCAGATGCTTCTCTCTTCTATTCTGATAAATCATGAACATTTCCAATTAGCACAAATTCCATACTACCTTTTCTTCTTACAAATCTTATAAATTTGCATGGCTCTATATTAAACTGCATCTGCCTCCTGTCCACCCACATACCCAGCTTCTCCAGATCCTTCTGAATACCTCTTTTGGAACAGGGTATTCAGAAGGATCAGAACAAAACTGCACACAATACTCTAGTTGTGGTCTCCCCAAGGCCAGATATAATTTTAAAATCAACTCTTGACTAATACATTACCCCCTTAGGTATATATAAATCAAGCATTTTATTGACTTTTGTCTGTACATAAATTGATATTTAGGTTCTATCAACATTTTATGAACATTTCTAGGTTCTTTATGATAGATTAACAGAAATCAAAGAAAAAGCATGTAACTCATTCTCAGCACCAAACAATTCTGATGCACTAATCATTTAGGAATTTACGTAATCCACTTTAGTCAAGCTGAGCAGAATTACTATTTATACTAATAGGAACAGAACATACTCCCTGCACTTTCCTTCCTATTCAAACAGAGCTATTTCCATTTTCAATCAGTTTTCTTTCCATCGTTGAAGAGAGCTAATATGTTTTTGTTAATCTGTGCTTCTGTACTAAATTCATCTGAATATTGCAACTGTTTGACTTCAGACTGAATGCAAAACAGTCCTGCCTCGCTGAAATTTCTGTCAGGCTATAATGGCCTGATTTTGCACTCACAAAAACTGGCATGGAGGAATTTAAAAGAAGTGGTTCTCAAACTGTTTAATCAAAGGAAAACAATGTACTGATACATGATGCAACAGTATGTCCAAACAGGAAAAAGAGTCATCTTTCCACTTAATATCTCTCTATGTGGGATTAAGAGAAGGCCATTTGACTGATTGAGACTTTGCTGGTGCAAATTCCTTTTATTGGAGTTGGAGCCTAATTCATATTCCTTTTCCTAGCACCCCTTTATATCGTTGTTCAAAACACACATTCAGATATTCCTTCCAAAACTATACTCCCTTTGTTTTGTAAGGCCAGTATACCAATGCTCACCTCTAAAATGTCAGTGTTCGTGTTGCATGAATCTACTATGGTAAAACAAATCTATCCTAAGGAGTTCACTCAGCCCAGTTCTAGTCTGTTTCAAGCAGAAGGCCAAAGATCAAGACTGAAAACCAACAATCTGGTAGTTTGGGATGAGTATGTCATAGCAGTTCAAAACACTGAGAATATATCTTGCCAAATTGAAGATTTACAATTTTTTTACCAACAATTATTTACAGAATCTAATACAATTAAACTATATGTTAACAGATTAAATTTATAACATGTTGCTTACTGCTCAATGCATTAAATTACCAAAGCAAAAATGCAACTCCATTTACCTTTATTGAAATCAAATTTCTATGTGTTATCACATAGAATCCCCTTTGAACTACATCAAAGGAGGAATCAGTGTGAAAGCTAACAGGTATATGAAGCAGTTCATCTGAAATTTTTGAACTGGTTTTGAACCTCCAATATACATAGTGCAAGGGCATGTATAATTAAAACACTGAATGCTAAACTCCAAAAATAAAAGATAATGTCATACATGTCATGCTTGTTAAATGAAGACTATTAATAAAAATATTCATTTAAAGTGAGTATAAATTCAAGTATTGTTTCATTCCTCTTACATATTCAGAAAAATGTTTATGAGAAACATTTAGATCATCATTACTGGTTCAAAGCCACAATTTTTGATCATGATGTACATTTATAAGCACTTATCCAAGTATAGTGGTCATTATTTCTTTTGAGTAAATTTCACACAATTTCACGCAAGTAACTGCCATGTAATATTTGCAGTCTCAAGGAAAATGTGACAATTCTTTACACCCTCATGACCCTACTTTTTCGGATCAGATAATTACATGTTCTCTTAGGCACTACAAATACTGTATATAACTTCCTATTGGGATCTTAACACATTCTATTCTACATTTTTTTTTAAATAACACATTTTGCTCCCTCTAGCAAATTTGCCACTGAAAGGCCTTCTACTGTACTTACACAATTCCATGCACGAAACTCATAAGTAAAATAATGATAATGTTCTTAAATTATAGAAGCTCATTATTAATCCATTCATACATTTTTCCCTCTATATACTGTACTAGTGCAATATTGTGGTTGCTACTTCAGAATTCTCTTAAAACTCACCGTCATCATCATCTTTTACTAGGTAATTCTGTAACGGATCAATCCCAGTTTCTTGAGGATCTGTTTCCAGAGGGTGTCTAGTTTCAAAAGCTGAAATTGTACTCGATGAGGACAGCATCTTGCCAGCTACTAGTAGGACCCAAATTGATTACCTGCAAGAGAAAGGAGTAACTGAATAAGTAACAATGCTAAATGATACCTGGCAATATTACAATACTTCAACCGTGCAACAGGTATTTATAGTATTCACATTGCAATGGATTGCCTACTTTGTTGTAGACGTTACCCATCTATACAGACAGATAAAATCCTTGCAAATTTCATACAACACCTTTCACATTTGGAGGACCGTATTTTTTTTGTAGACAGCATAGAAGCCAATTTACACACAGCAATGTTCCACAAACAGCCATGGATCTTTAACATTCAGCTTAATAATAATAATAATCCTTGCATTTGATATAGCGCTTTTCACGTCGGGAGGACGTCCCAAAGCGCTTCACAGAACACACTGTAAAGTGAATTGACTGTATATTTGTGGGCGAACACGGCAGCCAATTGCGCACAGCAATGTCCCACAAACAGTCGTGGATTGAAAATGACCAATTTATTATTGTTTTTGGTTTTGGAGGGATTATTATTAGGCGTGTGGAGTAAGGAAACTTGCCCAAGGTTTCGCCCTGCCTGGAATCGAACTCAGGTCTCTAGCTTGCAAAGCGAGTGCTCAACCACTGAGCTACAGGACTCCACCGGGATCTCAGTCTAACATCTCATCCAAAGGACAGCATCTCCGACAATGCAGTGCTCCCTCCAGCAGCATGCTGTAGTGTTACCCTGAACTATGAGTTCAAAAGCCAAGGGTAGAGCTTGAAGCAGGAGCCCTTTGATTCAGTGGTGCGAGTGCTACCAACTAAGACAGGCTGACACATGTAGCATTTCTGCTTATTACAATAGGACCACATTATAAGGCACCTCCTTATAATGTTGCTTTGATAATGCCAGTGGCATGTGGATCCACAGTTGACTTGAATGTATGGATCAGTCATGATCAGTGACGTCACAGTGCAAACTGTGTAAGGGTTTGAGATTTTAAGTTTTTATGATAGATTTTATGATACAATACGCCCTTTACAACAGGTACTTCTGAAAGCTGTAATTCCTGTTGTGGCATGCCTCCATAGGCACTGCAGACAGGTTCACTGAAGCAACTGTAGTGCCTTACTTCTTTTTCCATTCAGTCAGGTGTCCGACACATCCACAAACCCATCACCATGCTTAAGAGAATCCAAACCCAACTTCCATGAATACCACCCACACATTGAAATTCCTGTGTATGGAATGAAATGTGCACTCCCTGTAGGGGCATACCCTGTCTACCACAGGTTGTGTCCTTGGAGAGGATAAGTTTACATGGCTATGGGGAGAGAGTAGGGGAATGGGATTAATTTGGATAGCTCTTTTCACAGAGCTGGCACAGACACAATGGGCTGAATGGCCTCCTTCTGTGCTGTATAATTCTATCATTCTATAATACCTAATTCCCTAAAAGTATAAGGTTGAGGTTAGTAGGATTAACAGCAGCTGATAGGGTAGAATCCCGGCTTCCAGTGACTGGTCTAGCTTTCCAAGTCCTCCAACTCACTGCAATGAGACAGGCTGGCTGGTCTGTCAGCAGCAGTGCCCTAGAGCGGCATTATGGAACCATAGAGCCATATGATGCTTATGAAGGCTCACAGCCACCTCAGCTTCATCAGAAATCATCTCAGATAATTCCCACTGACAATTTGCTTACAGAGACGTGTGGCTGACTATTTAAATGTGTACATGTAAGTGGTAAAAATATTGAATTCAAATAGTCATCTAACATAATAGTCTATAGTATATACACACATATACAATTTCTTTGTTGTAGTGATTCCACTACGACCACGTTTTGCTGCATATGTCTTTGATTCACATCATACGAAATTGGAAACTCACACACGTTGCTGGTTTAACATTTTTTGACTGGTGAGGCTGACAGTGTTGTTCATATACCATACATCTGGCTCAGTTCAAATCTGGGTTCGGCAACACTGCCCTATAGCACTGTGGACCTGCCTGGCACAGAAATTAGACTGCCAAGACCACCCCAGAGGAACATTATTCCAACATTTAATTGACAAGCATGTCACCTTGAAGCAAACTCAATACAACTCAGTGCCAACATAGTGAGTGATTAGTGAGAATCTGGATCACCCTTGTGTTCAAAGTGTCAAGCCAACTAACTGACTTTACTTTGGTGCTAGTCAGTGATGATGGAAGCGGACTTTATAGGACTGCAATGAAACTCCTATTAATGCTGATTTGCAACCGTGTGGCACTTACCAAAGGTCTAGAATCACGTTACTCCTACTAAAACTAGTTACAGAGCTACTGCGAAATACTCAGCACCAACCAATTCCAAGAGTGCTCTTCTATTCATCCTCACCAGAGATGTCGACAGAATCCGGGTAACCTCTGATACGGAAGCTTTGAATCCTGGAAGATTAACTGCTTCAGGATTCCTGGGATGTCTTACCGACGTGAAAGGAGCTATACACATGTAATTTGTTGTTTTTGTTGCGAGACCAGCATCATTGTACACTTGATCTTTGCTTTTTGCTTGAGTAGGAGCTGGTAAAGAAGATTGTTGACTTGGCCCTCATAGGGCGTGGAACATCTGTGGCATATATTCATCCTTTGGAAACTGATCACTTTTAATAAAATCCATTTCTCTGTAATTTTCTGAGTCCATTCAGTTGATCCCAATGGGCTCCAGAAGAGGAGCCTAAATATATTTGGCAAGTTCAGCTACCATGTCTCAATGAGAGGTGTCAATACCACCAATCATGTCCATCTGCTACTGCAACGGCTTGCTATCAGTCCACAGAACCATAGGAACCACTTTACATTCTTGACAACACTTGTTGAAATCAACTTTTTGTCTGTCTTTCACCCGGTGCAAAAATAACTAAAGGGCTTTGTTTACATGTAGAACATGGGTAGTGGAGAGCTGCAATTAATAATAATCCTTGCATTTGATATAGCACCTTATCACGTCTTCGAGACATCTCAAAGCTCTTCACAGAATATACCGTAAAGTGAATTGACTGTAATTTTTGTGGGCGAAATGCGGCAGCCAATTCAGCACAGCAGTGTCCCAGTTCTTTGATTTGATCCACAGTTGTGGATTGAGTGACCAAATTATTATTTATTTATATTTGGCTGAATATTCCAGACTTTATAATGTTAACATCGTCTTAAAGGAGAGCTGTTCCCTTTTGTAAAATATTCAACGTTTTGTTACCTGAATCCTATGGTGTGTTTGATGCAGGGAATGAACAAGGAACAAAAACGGAATACAGGGGAAACATTAAAGTGGCTTTCAAAGACTGGTGCCTTGATTATACAGGTAGTATGGGTGCACATTAACCATACAACTCGCTTCGGTAATCTAGGAAAGGACTGGGTTCAGTGCTGATTAATTAATGTCCCACACTAAAAAATAACAGATTTCCAAGTCATAAGGTTACCATTCCAACATTACATTGTCATTTCCTGTCATGATCTACATATAGTATCTATAAATTGAATTATTGTTTGCGTTAAAAGTAAGGCCTTGTCCATGTTTCAATATGTAGAAATGTTTTAAAGTGAGAAATTTTATGCAAACCTTAGGCTTTAACCCAAGATGAATTTGATGACTTTAGTTTTCAAATAAACTTATTAAATTCATATAAATCATCCAAAAGTATTAATCTTTAATAAATACAGACCACATCATTTATTTACCCGAATCACCATAAAATAACTGCTTCTGAGACCTCAGGAAGTTTTCTGATCACATTCTAAAGGCACAATTCATTTACTACACATTATAAAATATGTAAAAGTCATCAGTCTTAATATATGCCATTCAATATTTGATACCGTATAAGCTTCATTATGTACCACAAAAGTATAAAAATAAAACAGTAATTACCAACATAAAGTTAGATGTATAAATCACTTACATGTTGAGCACTGAACAATACACCACAATTTAATTTGAATTGTGTAACTCTTTCAAAGAAATAGTATTTAGCGCACACTATAAAAAATATTCAGTTGTATCACCTTTGCAATTTACAAAATCCATTCTTTGTCTATAAATACACAATCACTATGTTCGACAATAAATCGTATGAAGCGCCAGTATGCTCTCAATGTAAAAGGCACTGTAACAAATGCAAGGTTTATTATTATATTCCACATGTATAGTCTCACAAACATTTAGCTCTTAGAAAACGTGTTTAAGGAGTACATACTGTATTGTGTATTTGGAGTGCCCATTTGCAGAAATAGAGCATAAAAATTTGGGTGTGATTTACTGATCAGTCCAGAAAGCTTCCTCTCATTGTGAAGCTGATACCAATTTTGGACATTTAGCTACAAAAGTAACTACACTGAACAACAAGGATGAATCCCAGGACTCAGAACTCTTCTTGTTTATGAGAAGAAGCTTGCAGACCTTCTTTTAAATATTTATTCTCTATTTAATAGAGAAAGGACAGAAGGCAAATTTGATCCAGTACTACACATCTGTCAGGTACGGACAGTATAAACATAGGTTGGTGACTTAGGCCAGGTGTATAGTACGGGTGGATTTGAGTTTAATATAAGTGTGCCTCAAACAAGACCAGAATTTTATATTAAAAAAAACAGAGTGATAGATATATGGAACAGGCTCCCAATAAAAGCAGTAATGATGTACAAGTTAACGTCTTCTCAAAGAAAATGGATACGTTCCTGGTTGGAAGCAGTATTAAATGTAGGCTTAGATGAACAAATAATCTACTGGCATAATGGCTTCTGTGTTATAGGGGCCAGGAAGGGGGAGAAGAAAAGTATATGCTGGGAAGTATTGCTGAATTAAATCGTACAGATGTTGGTAAAGATGAATTCTGAAGATTGTACTTGACTATTTAACTACAGGGAGTGGCTGATAATATTTTTCCTAGGATATGGATAGGACAGAGTTCACAATAGACGACTGTTTTCATCATCTTTGAAAGCACCAAGTCAGAAGGGTTGAACAATCTGTTCTTGTTCCAACATTTTCTTTTATATACTAAAATGGCCTTAAATCACT